CCCACAACAAAGCAGGGTTTTGCCGTATTTCTTAAAATGTATATCTTTCCTTCGTATCTATGGATGATCAGGGAACGGTAACATCCAAAGTAACAATTTAAACATAAAAGCAACCAGGCAGAAAAACATCAATAAACTCAACCACCAAATTGCTACGGAAAAAAAAAAAAGCAATTTGCAACACAATGTTGACCAAATTGCAATATTTATGGTAATTATATATCGGTGGATTCAGTCAACAATCCTGTCTGAATCTTCACGTGTTGTTTTTTTTCAGTAGAAAATCATCAGGGAAGAGTTGATCCAGTCTGGAGACTTAAAAGATACGTTGAGGCAGTCTATCCTTAGCAAGGAGTCACAAAGCTCAGAAGCAGCTATCCAAGAAATTCTTCTAACCTGGGGCAGGCAGTAGATAGGGGGCATTTACTTGATTTTCCAGCAAAAGCACTTCAGATGTTAGAAAGATAAAAGAGACGTCTTCTGGAGATCATCAAATCTGATCAGCCTAGTAAGGATCAAATCCTACTTTTATGGTTTGGCAGAGGATATATGTTTAATTGCAAGTTGCAGGATACATTGGATGGATGGATAGAGGGAGGGAGAAAAAAGGGAAGGAGGAAAATATGAGGGAGGGAGAAAAAAGGAAGAGAGAGAAAGAGAGAGAGAGAGAGAGAGAGAGAGAGAGAGAGAGAGAGAGAAACCAACATAGCAGATTTGCTTATCTTAGTCATGTCTACATTGTAAGGGTGGAGTTGATGGACAAATAGAGACCAGTCCTTCAATAGCTGCCATTTTAATAATAATGATGATGATGATGATGATGTTCAGTTGACTGAAGTTCATGTCTAATGAATAAAAGATAATAATAAAGTTGGAAGGGACCTTGGAGGTCTTCTAGTCCAACCCCCTGCTCAGGCAGGAAACCCTACCCCATTACAGACAAATGGCTGTCCAGTCTCTTCTTAAAGACTTCCAGTGTTGGAGCATTCACCGCTTCTGGAGGCAGGTTGTTCCAGTTGCCTCTTGAAAAAAAAAAAAGCGCACCTTTGGGACAGCCCTGACCTGGAAAACTGAGAATCTGCATAGATATCTCATTGTTTCTTGCACAAATCGATATCTAATCGTGTCACTTCACAAACAAGAGAACATAACATTATTGAAAAGTTGAGGAAATTATTACCCCTGGCAGGATTCAAGCAGAGGGATGCACTGAGCACTCTTCAGTTAAATTTCGGGGATTAAATTGTTTTTTTCCCAAATATATATTTCTGTGATTTTTTATGGATTCTATGAAGTTTGCCCCGGGGTTTTCCACATCTTCTCTCTTTTGTCATCTAATTAGAACATTAATTCCAATGCTTACTAATGTAAGATAATAAAAAGCAGTGTTCACGTCGCTTTCCTGAAGCATTAATATCTCCCCCCCCCCAATTGGATGTTTTCAGAAGTGCACTGGCCTAAACCATCCACTTAAAATTCTCTTCCAAAGAGGTGACAGAAAATTAGCAAGGCGGGAATTGTTTCAAGGAAGTAATCTGATCATTTCTTCATTAAAATTCTGTTAGGTTTCCAATAAAGAAAGGAGGCTTCAGAACCAGAGACAATTAAAATGTACACTGGAAAGACTTTTTTTTTAAAAAAAAAGGCAAGGGGAAGGCCAAAATTGCACACAGCTCCAGGTGGTTTACAAAAAAATAAATAATAATAATAATTGCCACTCTGCCCTTCCTTCACGCTTTAAGTTTTTTTAAAAAAAAGCTGCATTTCTTTTCAAGCTGCTTGGAAGTGGCTATCACGGTGATGACTTCAAAGTATCACCCACATATTTTTGGCTTTCTGGTTTACATTTTGTAAAGAGGCTCAGCTAATTAGCTTTAGTTAATTGCTGTGTGTCTTTAATGGGGCTTAACTTTTTCCTTTTGCACACCGACAATCCTCTTAGTCCGTTCACAAATATTAACTGAAGCTGGATGGGATGGAAAGCAAAATAAAAGAATTTGTCCTTCTCAGAGTCATTACATCGGTGGGAGCTGATCGCCAAACGATAAGTGGATGCACTTTAGAAAAATTTCAAATGAGATATTTTTCTCCCCCAGTTTATCAAATAAAAACTATTATTATTATTATTATTATTATTATTATTATTATTATTATTATTATTATTATTATTATTATTATTATTATTATTATTTTGCAGGAATGTAAGTTCAGATGGCGCTGAAGCTCGACGAAGACTCCGAGAATGTGAAGGTTTGGTAGATGCTCTTCTCCACGCTTTGCAGTCTGCAGTGGGGAAAAAAGATACAGATAACAAGGTAATCTCCCGGTTGCACGTCTGAAAGGGAATTGTAGTTTGCAGAAGAAAGCCTTGTTTTTATTACAGGAAGATTTAACCTTTTTTTAGATACTTTTGACCTGGATGATTAGAATGGAATGGAAGTAGAGTAGAGTAGAGGAAGAATAGAATAGAATAGAATAGAATAGAATAGAATAGAATAGAATAGAATAGAATAGAATAGAATAGAAGTAGAGGAAGAACAGAAGTAGAATAGAAGTAGAGGAAGAATAGAAGTAGAATAGAAGTAGAGGAAGAATAGAATAGAATAGAATAGAATAGAATAGAATAGAATAGAATAGAATAGAATAGAATAGAAGTAGAGGAAGAATAGAAGTAGAGATAGAATAGAATAGAATAGAAATTAGAATAGAATAGAATAGAATAGAATAGAATAGAATAGAATAGAATAGAATAGAAGTAGAGGAAGAACAGAAGCAGAATAGAAGTAGAGGAAGAATAGAATAGAATAGAATAGAATAGAATAGAATAGAAGTAGAGGAAGAACAGAAGTAGAATAGAAGTAGAGGAATAATAGAATAGAATAGAATAGAATAGAATAGAATAGAATAGAATAGAATAGAATAGAATAGAATCTGGACGGGACCTTGGAGGTCTTCTAGTCCAGCCCCCCGCTCAAGCAGGAGACCCTATACAATTTGAGACAAGTGACTGTCCAGTCTCTTCTTTAAAATCTCCAGTGATGGAGCGCCCACGATTTCTGAAGGCCAGCTGTTCCTCTGGTTAGTTGTCCTTAATAGTGAGCGAAGGCTGTGACCCCTGACTTTTTCAAAGCTTCCGCGGCATCTCTGAAGACTTCTGTGATGGTTCTCTGACGTCTTCTTGTCTTCTTTTTCTTGGGGAAAACCCCACCTGGCTTCAGTCGGTGGAGAACTGCGTCTGCATCATGAGGAACCTCTCCTACCACGTCCACAAAGAAGTTCCAGGCGCCGACAAATTCCGAGAGTTAGAAAGTAACCAGCTGGGAAGCTTTGGAGGAACTCATAAGAAAAAGAAAGACGACGCGGGCTGCTTCGGTGGGAAGAAGGCCAAAGGTACGTGTTCTCCTAATACCTTCGGAAGGACGAAGTAGGGTGCACCCAGTCTGCATTCTCATTGCAACCCTGGTTGAACCTAAGCCATATTTTTTTTCCCCAATATGGTGCCCTCCAGTTGCCTTGGGCTTCCAAGTCCCGGAATCCCAAGCAAGCTAGCCTGATCAGGGATGCTGTGTGTTGCATTTCACTAACCTCTTAGAAACCTCCCTGTTCCTGTTCCTGACTGGCATTGCAAGCTGTGAACAGCCAGATTTTAATGACCAATCTAATAGAATCTCTGAAGCACAGGGTTGAATGGCAATGGTCTCTGAGCGGGGCGGTTTGCTTGCAGACATTTCGTGACCCAGCTAAGTAAGATCGTCAGTATGAAGGAGGGTGGGATTCGCTGCCTGTTTATACATACTAGCTCTGAACTTGGTGGTACGTTGATGCTTCCTTACCCAACTAGATCACATCATCGGTGCTAGTGGATGTAGTTTTCTCCTCCTACCAAACCTCTTTGGTTTTCTCCTACCAAGGAGAGAACCACACCCCACCAACCCCTGGCAGGGCAAGCCATTGTGTATAAAGAGGGAGCAAACCCTTCTAGCACTGATGAATTTACCTAGTTGGGTTATGAAACATCTGCAAGATCAACAAGCTAAGAGAGCATCAAGGACCCTACAGTCTTCTTCCTCCTCCTCCTCCTCCTCCTCCTCCTCCTCCTCTTCCTCCTCCCCATCCCTGCAAACCCCACTCCCTTCTAGCACTGATGAATTTACCCAGTTCAGTCATGAAATATCTGCAAGACCAAAAGCTAAGAGAGCACCACGGACCCTACAGTCTACCTCTTCCTTCTCCTCCTCCTCCTCCTTCTCCTCCTCCTTCCCCCCCCCATCTCTGCAAACTCCACTCCCTTCTAGCACTGATGACGTTACCTAGTTGGGTCATGAAACATCTGCAAGCAAACCACCAACTTAGGTAGTCGGCAACAAGGACTCCACAGTTATCAATCTCTCCCGAATTGTCCTCTTCACCGTGATCTTTTAAATGAATTTATCGTGAAGATGATTTCTCTGCTCCACTCTGTTTTCTATTATTACCAATCTGTCTTTTCTCCTATTCTTTTCTTCCTCTCTCTCTCTCTCCCTCTCTCCAACAAAGGAGGGAGATACTCAGGTCAAGAATGTCGGTAGAGCTTTGTAAGAAAAGACCCCTGTTAGTTTCTGGTTAGTCTGAGGTAGCCCCAGATCAGGGGAAGTCTGGTGGCACCATTTCACACTAACACGTTCTATAAAAATGTGTACGCTTTCACGAGAGACGGTTTCATAAGACCGTTATTAACCACGAATGAAGGCGAATGTACGTGTGTCCCAGGATAATGTTGCGGGATCCAATCTGGATCGGCCACCAGGACCCGAGGTTTTATCTTCTGAGCTTTGGGATCCATGTTGGAGCCCAACTTCAGGGAACTTATTATTAACCGTTATTACCCGGTTATTAAACTGTTATTAACCCTTTAAGATGTGCAGATTCCTGCTGGGTCCTTTCCCAGTGACATTTCTAAGAAGGAACTGATTCTAAACTAGAATTTAATCACCTTTCCTTCTCTAGCCCTTGGGTGTAATGAGCAGTAGGCAAACAGCTTCAAGAATCCTTGAGCTTCATTCTCCAAACAATGCATTCATGGTATCGAGAGAATTGGGAAGTCAAGTTGCACAGTTTCCTGCTCAGTGCACACGGAGGCACNCCCAGTGACATTTCTAAGAAGGAACTGATTCTAAACTAGAATTTAATCACCTTTCCTTCTCTAGCCCTTGGGTGTAATGAGCAGTAGGCAAACAGCTTCAAGAATCCTTGAGCTTCATTCTCCAAACAATGCATTCATGGTATCGAGAGAATTGGGAAGTCAAGTTGCACAGTTTCCTGCTCAGTGCACACGGAGGCACGGTCTGTTGATTCAGTTGGGCAAGGTCACAATGCGATGCTACGGCAGTGGTGGTAGGAGAGCAGGCTGTAGCAAGGATGATATGTTGACCTACGTGTTCCCAGTCCCCAAAGAAGCTTCCATTCAGACCGCCTCAGCAGAAGGTCACCTCCAAATTAGGAGCAAGGGATGAGTAATCCAATCTGTAGGCATTGTTGTGCACCTGCTTGGCAAACATATGTTCCGTGAGACAATACAGGAGGTGGCGTGCGCTCGTATGCCGGGGTCAGGGTCCTTTTCTGGAATGCCGTTTTAACTTAATCTGCGCCGAACCAGGCCAGCATGTGGCTTATCCCCTCAAGTGTAATGCAAGGCAGGTTTTTCGGTATCAAATCACCGTGAACGTGTGGCCTTTGAGAACCTCACACCTTTCTAAACAGCTGCTCAGCTGTTCAGACCAGGAGGTCTTTAGCAATGATCTCAGCTGACATGCAAACACAGATACCTGATTGCCCACTATGACAAAGAATGAGAGAGAAGGTGAAGGTATTTAGGATAAGATGGGATGGGATAGGATAGAATAACAGATAACAGAATAAAATAACAGAAGTAGAATAGAATAGAATAGAATAGAATAGAATAGAATAGAATAGAGTAGAGTAGAGTAGAGTAGAGTAGAGTAGAGTAGAGTAGAGTAGAGTAGAATAGAATAGAACAACAGATAATAGAATAGAATAACAGAAATAGGATAATAGAATAGAATAGAATAGAATAGAATAGAATAGAATAGAATAGAATAGAATAGAATAGAATAGAATAACAGATAATAGAATAACAGAAATAGGATAAGATAGAATAGAATAGAATAGAACAGAATAGAATAACAGATAATAGAATAGAATAACAGAAATAGGATAAGATAGAATAGAATAGAATAGAATAGAATAGAATAGAATAACAGATGATAGAATAGAATAACAAAAATAGGATAGGACAGGACAGAATAGAACAATAGAAAAGAATCACCTATGTGTGAGCTGGGTGGCTCCATAAATTTGTTTAATAAATAACTAAAAATAAAGAGTAGAATAGAGTAGAATTAGAGTAGAGTAGGATAGGGTAAAGTAGAGTAGAACAGAAGTTAGAAGTTAGAAATAGAAATAGAATAGTTTATTTAGCGCAGTTAGACACACAAGGAATTTGTCTCCGGTACAGCAGCACTCAGCCTACTTGCCAAACAGCGCTGCCCTGATGATGTTACCTAGTTTGGTGACGAAACGTCTGCCAGACAGCCACCAAGCTCAGAGAAGCACCAAGGACCCCTCAGTCCCACTTGTGCCCGAGATGACTCTTTTTGTTCCCTGCCAAGAGAAGACACACCCTTTGGGATGTTGTTGACCAAGCCAACTCTAGGAGGAGAGCTGGAGGGCCAGAGCCCCCTTTGGGGGAGTGGGGGAGGGAGGGGAGAGAGCCAGGGTGCCCTTCCCATCTCAGGAAACGTCAAGAGATTCCGCTCCGTCTCAAATCCCAGGTTTAAATCTGCTTTGCAAAAGTTCTCGTCTGATTTTCCCTTTTTGTTTAGTCCTTCCTTTTGAAAACTTTTTGTTTGTTTTCACTTTCACCCCCCTTGGGCTGCTTTTCTGATTGTTAGAGGAATGGTTCAACCAAGGTGAGTTTCTTACTCCTTCTCCTGTGTCTTCCTCTCCCCATTTCCGTTCTTCTCTCTCTCTCTCTTTTTTTTCCCCTACTGGGCTAGATTTATTTCTTCTTCCTCCCTTCAACGTAAGGATAAAAGCTGGGAGAAATAAAGGTGGGGTCTCTTGCTTTGCTTTCTCTCCCCCTGCATGTGTCACTTCTTCTTCTTCTTTTCTTTTTTTTTTCATTCTGCTTGTTTTTTCCATGGCTCGGGAATGAAAAAGGCTGTGATGAATTTGGGCTGATTTTAAGGGAAGAAAGGGCCAGTTTCAGAGTAGATGGACCCAGCAAAAAATGTGATCAAGTTGTGTTTTTTCTCCTTCTCCTCCTCCTCCTTCTCCTCCTCCTCCTCCTCCTCCTCCTCTTCAGTATGAAAAGAATTCTCCTTTCCCCTTCCTCTTCTCTATTATTAAACTTCTTCTTCTTCTTCTTCTTCTTCTTCTTCTTCTTCTTCTTCTTCTTCTTCTTCTTCTTCTTCTTCTTCCTCTTCCTCTTCCTCTTCCTCTTCTTCTCCTCCTCCTCCTCCTCCTCCTCTTCAGTATGAAAAGAATTATCCTTTCCCCTTCCTCTTCTCTATTATAAAACTACTTCTTCTTCTTCTTCTTCTTCTTCTTCTTCTTCTTCTTCTTCTTCTTCTTCTTCTTCTTCTTCTTCTTCTTCTTCTTCTTCTTCTTCTTCTTCTT